ATATATTAGACAACACTGAGTATACATACTTGGTTTTTTATTTATTTTTTTAACATTAAAGTTAATATCTACCGGTCTTGAGCTGGAAAGTCTTACTCATTAAAATGTGCTGAAAATACGGACAAGATGATTGAATAAGCAACAAGTAGACATTTTTTTTTTTAATAAATTTGTCATGTTTCGCTATTTATTTAGCGCCAGCAGACATTTTCTAGTTGAATGATTCTGAGTTAAATTTGAATTTTTAAATTCTATTTTTTTTGTTTGCGGGGGTGGGGGTGGGTGGATGTGCATAATCATATTCTGTTTTGTTAACCATAATATGCATATTGCTGTTTGTTGAAACTTGACTAATGCATGGAATAATAATGCAACACAAAATGTACTTAGAACAAAATGTATTGAAACAAGAAAGTGTACACAATATTTACATATAGTCTTTTGTATATTCCTGGTAAGACCGTTCCTGGAGAATGTGTTGACTGAGTCGCAGTCGGGCAGAGTCTCTGGTTGAATCTCTTGATTCCTCCCTCTCTTGCCGGTACCAACCATATTTATATGGTCGGTACTCCACTATGCAAATTAGGTGGATCCTACCACAACACTGTTAATGTTTTTTAATCTACGAAGATGGGCTGAAATGTTCATTGGCTGACTATGAAGGAGTAATGCTAGAGCTGTGAAATCTTACATGCATTAATTTCAACTCTTCTTATTAATAAATGCATTGTTTTTTTTTCATGGTGAACTATTCAAAGACTCCAAAAATAGCTAGTAGACTTCTGTGGACAAAATCTGGCATCGTGGTGCTATCAAATACCTATAGAGAAAAAGTGTCTATTTCCCAAAGATTAGATAATGCCACTAAGACACAAGAGAATACTGAGAGTGAAAGAAAGTAAGAAATGTGATAAGAAACGATAATAGGATAATAGAATTCAGGAAGACAGAAGATCATACCCTGTTTTCATCAGGGTATGATCTTCTTTAGCGAATTAGTGGGGAATCCAGATGAATTGGCAACAAGGTTTCATCGTTTTACGATAGGTTCCTCTATAGTTTCTCGATACCTAAGGTTTAAAATGAATTTTTGAAATTATCTACATTGTTCGGAGTGTTGTCCTCATCTTTATTGCTACAGTGTAACCCGGATATAAGAGAGTTGTCGGGACCGGAGAAGAAGTCACTTATATCCGGGTTTGGTCTATTTTGTTTAGGTAAGTATGGGCTCTAATTTTGGACCAGAAAAAATCTCTCTTATATCCGGGTTTCTCTTATATCCGGGTCTCTTATATCCGGGTTATACTGTATATGTGAATATAGCAATAAGCTGATGACAACAGTCAGAATAAGGTAGATAATGTAAATAATTACAATACCTCATCTCAGAAATATAGAAAGAATTTTTAAAAATGAAAAATCTTTCTTGATGATTCTATCTATGACATCCATCAAACATGGCACGTGGAACTAGAACAGTCTACCCCAGTGAGCGAAATAAAGGGTTCAGTTTGAAATTCCAACCACCTGAAGAAGGCCGGAGCGTACAACGGCCGAAACGTTGTGATAAATATGGCGACAAAGATGAGGACAATAATCCGAATAATGTAAATAATGATGATGTGAAAATTTCTCCGATTTAATCGGTAGAGAAGACAATATTTATGAATAAAAATGACAATAGGAAAACTGGTAATTGCTGACGCGTTTCGTCCAATGTGGACTTTATCAAAGCAAAATACGAAAAAAAAAAAAAAAGAAAAAAATTCGTATTTTGCTTTGATAAAGTCCACATTGGACGAAACGCGTCAGCAATTACCAGTTTTCCTATTGTCATTTTTATTCATAAATGTAAATAATGATACTATTTTAGTTTTAATTTCAAGCTAATAGATTACATTTAATATTTCTAATATTCAAAATAATTTGCTGTATTTCAAAACTAATTTAAATTGATTGGAAGGAGTTTTCGTTTTGAAATTGCTGATTTGTCTTTTATTTTATTGCCATCTTTAGCTACCTGCCACCATAATGTGTGTGTGTGTGTGTATTTAGGCATCAAATTCTCTTTTAGGCATATCTGATTGAATAAATTACAGACATTATGTCTCCTAATTTTTAACAAAATCCTTTCATACTCATGAATAAAATTCCGTGTATTGATGTTAAAAGATGAGAGAAATGTGCTATAGCTTTTAAATTTCTTTTATTTTTATTTCCTATTATGGATAATTTTTTTTTCACATTCTAATGAACGCTCAGCACATTGTCAACCGTTTTGCATTTAAAAGCATAATGAAAACATTACGGTAATGGATAACAATGCACAACTTTGTATAAATACTTATGTTAATGAACAACATATAGTTTTGTATTACTTTGCACCCCTGAAGATGATCCTGGAAGAAGATCGAAAGTACTTGGGAAATGAAAATAAAAGAAATTTAAACAGCTATAGCACATTTCTCTCATCCTTTAACATCAATACACGGAAGGTTATTTGTGAGTGTGAACGGATTTTGTCTAAAAAAATCACTAAAATAATTGAGTTTCTTTTTTCAAGGTTTTCATTTAAGATGTTTAGTGTTTAGTCATCTTGACACCGCCGTAAGAATCACTGAAAAACCCACGAGTTATTCAGCTAGAAAGAGAACAGGTTAAAATCGTTTTGTGTCAGCTCTACTATATCTTCTCAACTGAGCAATGGTGAGAGGAAAAAGATCATTCAGACCCTTAGTAATGGTACGAGCATTCATACTCTGGATTCCATCTTCAAAGTCCATTCACGAACCATCAAGAGAACAATGAATAAGTTTAAAAATGAGGGAACAGTAGAGAGGAAAACTGGATTAGGGGGTCACAACAGCAAGAGGGATCATCATTTCAACTTAGGGCTAAATACATTCTTATTGTTCAAAGTAGAGTCCCATAGTGCTATAAAGACCTCGGAGAAATCCAGTAAGATTTCTTTAATCATTTCTAAGACACAACGATTCAAAGCGTGGACAATATTGCTGTTTCACGATTTGGACAATTTTATTGTTACACGATATATATATATATATATATATATATATATATATATATATATATATATATATATAATATATATATATATATATATAAAGAAAGAACATCAAGATATATAATCCGATATTTTATAGATATTTTTCCAAAAATTCGCTTGAGGATGAAATGGAACTAATGTCTTTAATTTAATCACAAAATTAAATTCGTGGCTTTTAGCTTCCATTTTTGAAACATGGTTAGAACTGTGTAGCGAAAAAACATGTTTTAAATCAATTAATTTATAATATATATATATATATATATATATATATATATATGTGTGTGTGTGGACCCATTTTGCAGGAATGAAATACAGTAGACATAGGTCCAATTTACACAAGAAACAAAAAGGTAGAGATCGGAACGGTTTGCACGAAAGTCGAAAAGATAGACATAGATATCAGCACGGCAAACAGGTTGTTTCTTTTACTGGGGAGGTTATCCATCTGTAGTCGGCGTATTCTTGACCCCTACCGAGTGGTCGCCAGAATTTGAACTCTGTTCGTTGTTACTCTTATCTGTACCGTTAACAGCACCTTTCGGACGACGTCTTGATCACCGACTCGAAGAATATTTTGCGACTACTTTCTCCTGAATTGAAGTTAAATAACAGCGCCTTTAACAGACAGGTTTTGATATTATGTCCTAATTAGCAATAAGACTTCAGTTTGCAGATGTTTTCGACTTAGGTCCAGACGCGGTTGATATTGTCGCGAAGCTTATAATAAAAATAGCGAAGAAAGTGTCGAGTCTTCAGTTATGGCAGATGGTATCATCAGAAAGAAATAAGTTAAAAAGTGGCGGCTGAGGTCGGTAATAAGGACTGAATTGGTTGCAGCATGTCACAAAAAAAGAAAGAAAAAAAAACTGGGTTGGGAGGCAGCACGTGAGGACACTGATGAATATGTCGTGTGCAGCTCGCCGATGAAGTTTCAGGTTAGAATCTCCGTCATCGTCAGAAAAGATGGAGAAACATGCGTTTAAAAAGAGGATTTTTCAACTTGGTGACAGAAGGACAAGTGAGATAAAAACGGAGAATGAATGAGATTTTTATTTAAAATAAAATGTAGGAAGAAAACAAAGGTAAACAGGGTTCATATAAATAAAGACTAGAAAGAAAGAAAGAAAGAAAGAAAGAAAGAAAGAAAGAAAGAAAGAAAGAAAGAAAAATGAAAGAAAGGAAGAGTAATTGTTTTCTCTGGTGAAGGCACGTAAGAAAGAAAGAAAGAGTAATTGTTTTCTCTGGTGAAAAAAGAAAGAAAGAAACAAAGAAACAAAGAAAAAGTAATTGTTTCACTGGTGAAGAGATCTACCAACGAAAGAAAGAAAGAAAGAAAGAAAGAAAGAAAGAAAGAAAGAAAGAAAGAAAGAAAGGGTAAAAAAAGAAAAGAAAGAGGTAAGTAAAGAAAAGAAAAACAATTATTTTCTCCGACGAAGAAAGTGTAGCAAAAAGAAAGAAAAAAAAGTAAATAGAAATGGAAAAACAAGGACATGAAAAGAATCCAAAGAAAAAAAAGAAAGAAAGAAAGAAAGAAAGAAAGAAAGAAAGGGTAAGTAAAGAAAGAAAAAGTAATTATTTTCTCCGACGAAGAGGTGTAGCAAAGAAAGAAGTAAATAGAGAATGGAAAAACAAGAGAAAAGAATCCAATAAAGAAAGAAAGAAAGAAAGAAAGAAAGAAAGAAAGAAAGAAAGAGTAATTGTTTTCTCTGGTGAAGGACATACAAAAGAAAGAAAGAAAGAAAGAAAGAAAGAAAGAAAGAAAAGAAAAGAAGAAAAGAATTGTTTTCTCTGGTGAAGGAAGGACAAAAATGAAAAAAAAAAAGAAAAAAAGAAAGAAAGAAAGAAAAAGAAAGAAAGAAAAAGAAAAATGAAACAAAAATTATAGAAAGAAAAGAAAAAAAATGGAGTAAAGTAAAGAAAGAAAAAGTAATTATTTTCTCCGATGAAGAAGTGTAGCAAAGAAAGAAAAAAAATGAAAAAAAGGGGAACGTAAAAAAAGAAAAAAGTAATTATTTTCAGTGATGAAGTGGTGTACCAAAGAAAAACAGAAAGGAAGAAAGGAAAAGTAAAGAAAGAAAAAGTAATTATTTTCTCTCATGAAAAAGTGTACCAAACGAAGAAAGAATGAAAAAAAAAAAAAAGAAAATAGAGAAAGAAAAGAAAAAGAGAAAAGAATCCAAGAAAGAGAGAAATTTAAGAAACGAAGGAACGTAAAGAATGAAAAAAAGAGGTGAATAAAAAGAAAGAAAAAGAAAATAAAGGAAGGAAAAAATAAATTAAATAAAGAAAGAAAGAAGAAAAAAAAAAGAACGAAAAGCAAAAAAGAGAAACAAAAAAGAAAGAAAATTATAGGAAGAAAAAAAGAAAAAAGAAAATGGAGGTCTCCTGCGAAAGAAAGAAAGAAAAGTAATTGTTTTCTCTAGAAAAAATAAATAAAAAAAATAAAAAAGAAAGAAAGAAAGAATGTAAGAAAAGGTCTTAAAATTGGTAGGAAAGAAAGAAAGAAAGAAAGAAAGAAAGAAAGAAAGAAAGAAGAAAGAAAGAAAAAAGGGAATAAAATGAATACATACAAAACTGAAAGATTATTATAATGCGTTTCCTTTAACAATTCGATGATACACTAGAAATAAATAAATAAATAAATAAATAAATAAAGAAAGAAAGAAAGAAAGAAAAAGCAAAGAGAGGTCTCCTTGTGAAGAGATGTAACGAAAGAAAGAAAGAAAATTGTTTTCTTGTGAAGAGGTGTGGCAAATAAATAACGAAAAAGAAAGAAAGAAAGAAAGAAAGAAAAAGAGAGGTAACGAAAGAAAGAAAGAAAATTGTTTTCTCTTGTGAAGAAAGAAAGAAAGAAAGAAAAAAAGCAAAGAGGGTCTCCTTGTGGCAAAAAAGAAAGAAATAAAATAAAAGAGAAAGAAAGAAAGAAAAAAGAAAGAAAAAAAGCAAAGAGAGGTCTCCTTGTGAAGAGATGTGGCAACGAAAAGAAAGAAAAAAAATTAATTTTCTCTTGTGAAGAGGTGTGGCAAATAAATAAATAAATAAATAAATAAAGAAAAAAGAAAAAAGAAAGAAAGAAAAAAGAAAGAAAGAAAAAGAAAAAGGGTCTCCTTGTGAAGAGATGTGGCAACGAAAGAAAGAAAAGAAAAGTAATTGTTTTCTCTTGTGAAGAGGTGTGGCAAATAAATAAATAAATAAAGAAAGAAAGAAAGAAAGAAAGAAAGAAAGAAAGAAAAGAAAAAAGAAAAAAAAAAAAAAGCAAAGAGGTCTCCCTTGTCTCCCTTGAAGAAAGAAAGAAAGAAAAAGAAACGAAAGAAAAGAAAAGAAAGGTCTAATTTTCTCTGAGATGAAAACGAAAGAAAGAAAGAGTAATTAATTTTCAAATAAATAAATAAATAAATAAATGAATAAAGAAAAAAGAAAAAAGAAAGAAAAGAAAGAAAAGAAAGAAAAAAAAGAAAAGAGGTCTCCTTGTGAAGAGATGTGGCAACGAAAGAAAGAAAGAAAAATAATTGTTTTCTTGTGAAGAGGTGTGGCAAATAAATAAATAAATAAATGAAAGAAAGAAAGAAAAAGAAAGAAAGAAAAGAAAGAAAGAAAGAAAAAAAGCAAAGAGAGGTCTCCTTGTGAAGAGATGTGGCAACGAAAGAAAAGAAAAGAAAATTAATTTTTTTCTCTTGTGAAGAGGTGTGGCAAATAAATAAATAAATAAATAAATAAAGAAAGAAAGAAAAAAGAAAGAAAGAAAGAAAGAAAGAAAGAAAAGAAAAAAAGCAAAAGAAGGGTCTCCTTGTGAAGAGATGTGGCAACGAAAGAAAGAAAAGAAAAGTAATTTTTTCTCTTGTGAAGAGGTGTGGCAAATAAATAAATAAATAAAGAAAGAAAGAAAGAAAGAAAGAAAGAAAGAAAGAAAGAAAGAAAGAAAGAAAAAGCAAAGAGAGGTCTCCTTGTGAAGAGATGTGGCAACGAAAGAAAGAAAGAAAAGTAATTGTTTTCTCTTGTGAAGAGGTGTGGCAAATAAATAAATAAATAAAGAAAGAAAGAAAGAAAGAAAGAAAGAAAGAAAGAAAAAGCAAAGAGAGGTCTCCTTGTGAAGAGATGTGGCAACGAAAGAAAGAAAGAAAATTAATTTTCTCTTGTGAAGAGGTGTGGCAAATAAATAAATAAATAAATAAATAAAGAAAGAAAGAAAGAAAGAAAGAAAGAAAGAAAAAGCAAAGAAGGGTCTCCTTGTGAAGAGATGTGGCAACGAAAGAAAGAAAGAAAAGTAATTGTTTTCTCTTGTGAAGAGGTGTGGCAAATAAATAAATAAATAAAGAAAGAAAGAAAGAAAGAAAGAAAAGAAAAGGTCTCCTCCTAAAGAGATGGGCAACGAAAGAAAGAAAGAAAAGTCTCCTCTTGAAGAGGTGTGGCAACAATAAATAAATAAATAATGAAGAGAAAGTGGCAAAAGAAAAGAAATGAAAAAGAAAAAAGAAAATAATTTTCTCTTGTGAAGAGGTGTGGCAAATAAATAAATAAATAAATAAATGAATAAAGAAAGAAAGAAAGAAAGAAAGAAAGAAAGAAAAAGCAAAGAGAGGTCTCCTTGTGAAGAGATGTGGCAACGAAAGAAAGAAAGAAAAGTAATTGTTTTCTCTTGTGAAGAGGTGTGGCAAATAAATAAATAAATAAATAAAGAAAGAAAGAAAGAAAGAAAGAAAGAACGAAAAAGCAAAGAGAGGTCTCCTTGTGAAGAGATGTGGCAACGAAAGAAAGAAAGAAAATTAATTTTCTCTTGTGAAGAGGTGTGGCAAATAAATAAATAAATAAATAAAGAAAGAAAGAAAAGAAAGAAATAAAGAAAAGAAAGAAAAAAGCAAAAAGAAAGGTCTCCTTGAAGAGATGTGGCAACGAAAGAAAGAAAGAAAATTAATTTTCTCTTGTGAAGAGGTGTGGCAAATAAATAAATAAAATAAATAAATGAATAAAGAAAGAAAGAAAAGAAAGAAAAAAGAAAGAAAAAAGAAAAGCAAAAGAGGGGTCTCCTTGTGAAGAGATGTGGCAACGAAAGAAAGAAAGAAAAGTAATTGTTTTCTCTTGTGAAGAGGTGTAGCAAATAAATAAATAAAGAAAGAAAAAGAAAGAAAAAAGAAAGAAAGAAAAGCAAAAGAGAAAAGAACGAAAAAAGCAAAAGAAAATTAATTTTCTCTTGAAGAGGTCTCCTTAAATGAAAAGAAAGAAAGTAGAACGAAAAGAAAGAAAGAAAATTAATTTTCTCTTGTGAAGAGGTGTGGCAAATAAATAAATAAAGAAAGAAAGAAAGAAAGAAAGAAATGAAGAAAGAAAGAAAGAAAGAAAGAAAGAAAGAAAGAAAGAAAGAAAAAGCAAAGAGGGGTCTCCTTGTGAAGAGATGTGGCAACGAAAGAAAGAAAGAAAATTAATTTTCTCTTGTGAAGAGGTGTGGCAAATAAATAAATAAAAAAAAAGAAAAAGAAAGAAAGAAAAAAGAAATAAAGAAAAGAAAAAGAAAGAAAGAAAAAAAAAGAAAGAAAAGAAAGAAAGAAAAAGCAAAGAGAGGTCTCCTTGTGAAGAGATGTGGCAACGAAAGAAAGAAAGAAAAAGTAATTGTTTTATCTTGTGAAGAGGTGTGGCAAATAAATAAATAGAGAAAGAAAGAAAGACATTTTTTATGCAGTTTGCAAGTCAGACATAATGATAGTCACATGACTCATGTCCCGACTAATTTTATTGGACATGGTTATTGATAGACACACGTGTCTCACCTTCATTTTAGAATTTCAAGATCTGATTTTCACTTCTCCCACAATTTTTAAACTTCTATCTGTACCCGGATACACCCTGCATAGCCCGTTTACCATTTATTTAACATGTCTGTCATCACCGACCGGCAGAACCTATGTTGGAGCCGTGTTACTGTCAAAGCGACAACTATTGTCGTAAGTCCGAGCACGACCGAAGACGAATATGTCATAAGCTGCAGGCGACGACAGTTCAACTGAAGAGAAAATAAGGTGATGGTTGGTGGGTGGCATTCTAAGCTGTTGATTTTCTCGTCTGCAGAAAAAAAAAGTTTTAATACATTCCATTAAAACACACACACACACACACTCTCTCTCTCTCTCTCTCTCTCTCTCTCTCTCTCTCACACACACACACATATATTTTATATATATATATATATATATATATATATATATATATATATATATAATTGATCGTAATGAATGGAAGACTACATGCTACAATGGCATCAAGAACGAGGCAGCATCAAACATTGTCAAGCTTCATCAAACTAGGGAAAGGAATAAAATATCTGCTGCTGTTCCAGCCATATACTCCAAGAATCCACACTCTTGCACAATCTGTGAACTTCTTTGCAAATCACTAGCAGGACTGAAATGTCACTTGCAACTCACACACAGGGTTAAATAAACAAAGTTGTCGGAACCACATACCGACGGGAGAGTCCATCATATATATATATATATATATATATATATATATATATATATATATATATATATATATAATATATAATGCATATTTAGACACCCAGAGTTCATTTATACAAATCATGTCAAATTCAGCTGACAAAGTTTCTTTTTAATTTTCATTAGGTGCCTCCAAAATGGCGATCCTTAAGATTTTGAAGATGCATTTTAAAAGTGAAAAATCATTCTTGAAGCTTTTATTTTTGTTTTAATTCCAAACTAGCTGATTAAATTTGATATTTCCAATAAGCAATATATTTGGCTGTATTTCAAGCCTAATTTAAATTTGTAGCAATGTTTTCTTAAAATCGCTAAAATCGGCCATATTGACAAATCTGTCAACACAACATAATTCTCTTTATTAAATAAAAACTTTCAGAAATAAAATAAAAGTTTCTAAAACTTTATTAATGTTTAATTAATGTGAATTGAAAAAGATATTACTTTTAGTTTAAAATATCACAGAAAAGCATTTTTAACACAGAGGTGGGTGTTTTATGGGGTGATGACACATTTATGGATAGTTTATGTTCAGCATTTTTATGTGAAAACTTACTTGATGAGTACAAATGGAAGGCCTTTACACACACACACACACACACATACACATATATAAATATATATATATTATTAATAGAAATCTTATAACTATAAGAAACTATACTCGCTCGAAAAACCTTCGGTGTATTAATTTGCAAATAAACAAACCAATACCAAAGGGAAAAAAAGGTAAAAAGAAAGAAAGAACCAAGAACATGTACGTCAACCGAAAATAATCGTCCAGCATACGAGTTCAAGGCCCAAAGAAAAAAAAACCGATGCGAGTACCCAAAATAATTAAATAAAGTGCTCAATACAATGAGTAGAGCAGACCTAGTTAAACCTAGAGAGCCAGACAAACCTACCAAGGTTTCTCCTAAGCGGATCGCCAGGGAAGGCCGGCTCTTGGTAGGTTTGTCTGGCTCTCTAGGTTTAACTATATATATATATATATATATATATATATATATATATATATATATATATATATATATATATAGGCTCAAACACTAATATTCCATGGTTATAATATATTACATTGGAATCGTAATCAGGATCCAATTCATCAGACCTACAAAAAAAAAAATCTTTTTGAATTTGTAGGTCTGATTAATTGATAGTGATTATGATTCCAATGTAATAAATTATAACCATGGAACATTCGTGTTTGAGCCTTTATATTATATTCTTACTCTGTCCTGGGCATTGAGTTCTACCTGGATTATATCCTCTTGGGAATTTATGTATATATATATATATATATATATTGACTACTAATATTCTCTCTCTCTCTCTCTCTCTCTCTCTCTATATATATATATATATATATATATATATATATATATATTTAACTATGGAGTAACATTAAGAATTTTTTAAAAAGTATTTTCCTAAATTCTTAATATTACTAAGTAATATAAGTAATCAAATATTTATTGAATTTTAGGCAATTTGGCTTTAGTAAGACGCTTGTTGAGGAAATGTCAGAAATTATTATTAATAAATTTTAATTTACTTGAGTCACCGCTCTTACTTTCTGATAATGTCGTGTATTGACTTCCGTATTTAAAAAAATCGGCACATATTTTTTTTTTTTTTAATATTCGGGTCGCTGAATTGTATTAACCTTTTCATTTAACCGCTACAAATTAATACAGAATTTTAAAAGATTTAAAATTTTATAAATTATTATAATAGAAAAAAAAAATTAAACGATTCTTGCAAAAATTCATTATTCATCATTTTTTACGACAATAGTACCCATAAAAATAAGTTATTCATAAAAGCAATTAAAAAATTGTCTAATTAAATAATGTCTCATTGCATTTTTTTTATCTTACGAATCAGAGCAGATTTTCTATTTAGCTAAGTAGGGGGGCCATTGTATGACAAAAAAAAAAAAAATGATGATTTAAATTCTCCAAGGACTTATCTTTATAATTAACATAAACTAAAAAAACTACAAAAATTAATTTCTCATAGAATTAAATATAAGTGAGGAGGGAAGAGATATAAAAGTATTTTTTTCCCAAAAGATTCTAAAAAATGATACGTTTCTAAAACGTATTTACTTCATTTGTGAATAAGTCCTGAAAGTTTCATTAAAACCGAACAAGTATCTATTTTTTGCAAGAATTTCAAAATCAACGTTCTTTTCACCACAAAAAGACGTTCAAATTTCCCATACTAATTTTTGATCACCCGCTGATGCATGAAAAACTACATTTTTTACCAAAATTTCGAATATTTTAAAAAGGATTAAAAATATAAATTAAGAATAAAAACAAATTTTGATCGTTCCTCTCTATAATGACATAAATATTTTACCGAGAAAAGTCTGCTTTTTTTTTTAATTTAGGGTATTTTTCTTCATGCGCGTTCATTTTTTAGCAAATCTTTAGAGGTACCAAATATTTGTTGCCTCACATGCGGGTGATTTTTTCTTTAATACTGAAGTTCACCCGATACAAGGTCCAAGAGTTACTAAAGGTCAAGATTATAGTGATTGGAAAAACATCCATCTGGAAATTTGTTCCATGAAATAGCAGTTCTTAAGAAGATGTTATTCGAGTGGAACTCATGATATCATTGCAATAATGTGTGTCCGTTTAGAAAAGTAAAAACAATATTTTATATAATCACCAATAAACATTTATTACTTAATTAAATAGTCTTTATTGTTTTTAACAATAGTTTCCCAATTATGTCATTTTCGTAGAAAATTCGTATTTTTTTTTTGGGTGGGGGAAGAATGTTGTGAGATAGTTTTCGGCTGATTCCACAGAGTCAATTTTTTGGCACTTAAATAATTCTGTAGCGACCGGAACAAACGGAAATCCAATGGCGCCAAGACAGGGTTTCCCATTTCTCCTCTTTAATCTATTAGGTTGGTGCAAAAATAATGACGTAATAATGTCGTTTTTTGACGTATTTTTTAACGTCAATAAACGACATTATTACTTCATTATTTTTGCACCAACCTAATATTTTTCATCGCCTGTAACAATTCTGTCCATTCCTATAGTTAAATCATATTTTGACACATTTATCGATAGTTTATGTTTAGCATTTTTAAATAAAAACTGTAAAATTTGAAGAGTACAATTTGAAGGCCTTTTTGTTGAATCTTATTGAATCATTATAGTTAATGTTTTTATATGTCAGTTACTTTTTTCTTCATCATATAGTAAATCTAAAATATACGGCATTTTTGTAGGGCATCCTGTATATTGAGTGTAAACAGTAACTTCGGACAGTTTGTCTACAATTTTGATACGGATGTATATAATAAATATATTCGAAGTATTGTCATCATCTTAGTTGTGGCTACTGTAGTTTACCCCGATCGACAAACACCTGATGAAGACCTGAAGATACAACGACGGAAACGTTGTGATAACATCAAAGATGAGGACAATAGTTCACATGCAAATAGTATAAATCATTTTTATATTCAATATAACCACATTCGTTGTCAATGCACTTAATTCAGTGTTGAATATGAATCAAACAAAACATTGTAATGTGAACGGTAATAACTACGTGTCATGCATCGTATTCATTGATACCCATTTTAATGTCAGTAGCAAAGCTACATTGCTAACTTAAACCTTTGTTAGTAATACTTGATTAGAATGAATATATTGATACATTTCTATCTATCTATCTATCTATCTATCTATCTATCTATCTATCTCTCTCTCTCTCTCTCTCTCTCTCTATATATATATATATATATATATATATATATATATATATATATATATATATATATCTGTTGGATAAGTCTTGTTCTTATGTACATCGTCTTTGTCATGTTGAATTGATAATGTTAATTATATTTTATGAATATGTCCTGAAGATGGTTTATTAGACCGAAACGTCCGACGTTGACATATTAACATTAAAACAGCATAATTGTATATAAGATTTTTGTTTGTTTTTTTCCGTATATTTTTCTTTATATATATATATATATATATATATATATATATATATATATATATATATATATATATATATATATATAACACTTTCAAAGTAAAGCAAAATAACAGCGTCTGTTTCTAGCTTTTTTACAAAGAAAATTAATGACATCTTCTCCTCTTCTCCCTTAACTTCCTTCTCTTTTTCTCTCTATGAGTTTTTTCTTCTCTACCCTTCGATTTCAATATATAACTTCCGTTAAGTTAACCGTTTAAATGTGTCAATATCTGCTAACTCACTCGTGTCTTCTCTCCCCCCTCACTTCCTCACTTCGTTAATTTACATATGTTTAATACGGCCCGTCAAAATATGTAAATTTTCTTTTCATTTTTGTTTGAAGTAAAGTCTGATGATCCGCAGTCCTTTTAAAAGGGCTGTGGTGAAATAATTTATTACATGGAATCTTAAAGTGGTCTGTTTTTATTTTAAATTATTTGCTCTGGATTTACATTGAGCTCTCTGTATTTTATCTTCCTTAGGGTTACCCATACGGATTACCTAGTCTTTCATAAACT